TATGACAAGCAGCTGCCGCACCTACGAAATAGGCCATTAGTTCAGCTTCGCAGCCGTCAAGTTAATCGTTCACAACGGATTGAAGTCTGGTCCACGGGTGGAAACTCAATTAATCAATGTATGTTCTATTGGGCTTCGACGTACAGAGCTTCGCGCAGTCACCTCCAGACTTGTGTTATTGCTCATTGATTGGATTTTACCCCCTATAAGTGTCCTTTTTGCTGCTGGTATGTCTAATGCTGAACTCCCAAACTAGTTCAGGAGCTCAGAATAAAAAAAATTGTTCCGGTGCCCAACCAGTCGTCTTCTTACCTCACCTAAATATGTTTAATCTTTCGAACTAAAAGCGTACTCCTGTATTTTGCCGATTTTCTATGACTGAATTGGGTAACTGAAAAGGGTTCTCATCTTCGGGGCGTCCCTCAAATTTTCCCACCTGCTTTCTTCATATTATTGAGCTGGGCCTGACAAGTATTGCTCGGCGGACTATAAATTCGTTTGATTTCGTTTCGCAAAATTAGAGGTCGCTGGAAATATTTACTTTCGTCACACTCTATCTTGTTCTTGTCCCCCGTACTTTGTGTTTTGGCGTTCGATTTGAGAGTTTATTGCTTACGTAAGTATGGTCGTAGATTTTTACATTGTTCTCCTTAGATTGGTGATGCAAATTTGAGTCCACTGAAGGCATAATCGAAACCTGTAGGTCCTGTGTTGGAATGAATTTATTATTCTCCTAAATCGTAAACCTAATTTACTTCAACTAATTGGGTTCCGAATAAATGAAGTTCCGAAGAATTTCAACTGTCAACTTTTTTCACGTTTGTCTTTAATCGTCTCATTATGCACGCTATGGTGTAGCTTTGAAGCGATTGCACTTCTTTTGCCCAACTGCACTCTCCAATCTCGTTTTTTATTCATTATTGAGACGAACAATGTTCTCGCAGACTTATATTTCAATAATAAGAGGCGACAAGGTGAACTTCGAATTCGTAAAAGCTAACAGGAAACAGTCGTTTCAATTTTGAATCACAATAAACATTGTTTTTCGAAAGTTATATTATATTCCTTCTCATTGTCTGCTTTGACGTTCAACTGACAACTTATGTTTACCTTATCTTTATAGTGAACGTTTATTATTCCGAATTCAATGCTTCTATATCAGTGCGAAAATTTGAGTTCAAGAGAGACAGCATCGCAGACCGGTGAATGGCTTGCATGCATTAATGTTTTATGCCACAATCTCCAGAACCAGAATAAGTCAAGTAATTGCTTAATCAGTACAAAAAGACTTGACGAAGCATTATTTTCATTATACTATTTAAGCACCTTGTACCGCCATGTTTTATGGATAAGGGGAAATTGTTTCTTGG